AAGAAATAGGATTTAGAAAAGCTTTCTAAAATTTCACCTGTTTTCAAGTAAAGAAGCTTCTTCTATTTAGGTAGCCTGAAGACATAGTCTGACGAAAAGATGAGAGTATTACTTTATATACACGTGTACATACATACATACATGCACACATAATTCTTTATATCTGTATGTCTATAATAGCTACGTGTCCATATGTAATCTTTAAATTTTATGCCCACATGTGCTTTCCACTGCACCACTGCCACCATCAGGCACCACTATCAGTAGAGCCATTATGACCACACATTTTGAGCATTAAATTTAGTTCTAGGCTATAAGTGAGGTAGAAACCACCAAGATGTGTAGTTCTGCTCTAATACACACTCACGGCAAAAATCAAGGGGTTGAGTTACTCTCATAATCTATCCTCCAACTGTTTTCATTGTTTTACTTTCCATTTTCAACCAGTTCTCATATCCCCAAACTCTCATGGAGCCAAGGTTTGTTTTTATATTCTGCTTCCCTCTATATTACAGCTAAAATATGGATGAATAGAATCCATTTCCTATTTCAGACTCAGGACAAATCCATGTAATGTAAAGGCAATACAGTTGAGGAAGATCTTTTAAGCCCCACGCCAGGGGTTCAGTCAAGCAAAGGCTCTGAGTAGCTGCCCAAATCAAAGCGGTCTGAAACTGTCATAAGGCAGGGATGCGAGCTCTGAGCTCAGAGCCTTACACAGCGGGTCTCCGGCAATGGTGGCTATGCCATTTTGGGTGACTTTGTGATTTACTACACCTTCAGTGAACCAATACGGACTCACACTCACAAAACAGTAACCCAGTTGTTACGTACATTCCACTCGTAACAAGGAACTCTTTTTTTCACACAGCGGTAGTCAGCAGCCAGCTGAACTACAGGACTTCTAACCATTCCGAAGGACACAGGCGGATGTGCTTAGCACCAGGCTTTACTCAACTCGAAAAGACCCATATTCTGAAGTAACTTCGCCAGACCCTAGTGTTTCAGACCTTCACTCATGGCTGAGCAGAACATTCTACCTGATGGAGATGTCCGAGGAAAGCCTGGGCCTGGGCCGTGGAGATTGCCCCTCCGACGGGCACAGGCTGCTTCTGAAAGTCCAGACCATTGGTTTGTGTGCCTAGAAAGCAAGGAAAATAATAAAACTATTAAAAACACAAGCCACTGAAATAAATCACCAGACTTCAGTCTCCAACATTCATCAGGCACCTATTTCATCTAAGCACTTTTCTAAGTAACTGCAAGGAAAAGGGATTCAAAAGAAAATATGGTTAAATGATTTCTAAAGGTAGGACTACAGGACAAGTATGTGAACACAGACAAAGCTTAAGAAACAGAAACAGAAATATAAATATAAATATAAATAACAAATTATAATTGTAAGATAGTGTCAGAACAGCATGAACGTTCAGGTGGCCCTGTGGACGGGATCCCCACCATCATCACTGTTTAAGGATGGGGGACAGAGTTCCCACGACGCACCACAGCTCTCTTCCAATCTCACCCTTCTTGAGTTGGACAGAAGACATTTACCAGTGATTTTGCCAGGCATTGAGACAGATTTACTCTTAAAATTAAATGCTTTATTTAACTTTAAGTGACAATATGATGTCAAAAGTACATTACATGATAAAGTAATTCTGCGAGTTTCTTCAATCCCAAAGTATAGATCACTGTATATATCTCATTGGCAAGGGCTCTGCTGTTTCTAAATGTTATGCCACTGCTTTTCAACCCACTTCTGCTATGATTTGATGTTAAAAAAGGACTAATATATGGGAAGACATACCTCTATAATACCCAGAAATATTTTCTCAGGGATATACACATTGTTTTCAAATACTGTATCAAGTTGCTATTTAGAAGTAACCAGAATGCCCTGTACTGAATAAAACGTAACGGACTACAGGAACTGAGAGCCATATTGCAGCCCAGCATCGCGTGTCCGACCACCCATACCCCACTCACCCCCATCCTGTGAGCACACAGCAGACCAGCCAGGAGAATGCAAGTCAGATCCTTAAAGCAGTACTTCTAGAAGGTGCTAACTTCTGCCATCATATATCCTAATTCCTAGCACTGTTATCACATTAGTAAGAATTACTAGGTAGATCACATAACTCAAAAAAGCTCTTTAAAGTTTCATTGAGATAATTATAAGGAGTGTATATCTATTTTACCTCCTTAAAACATCATAGTGGTCCAGCTCTAGGTGGTGATGCTTAGCAAGACTTTGTCTGGCATTATATGGGGGTGTGGACAACTGATTTGGAAAGGAGAAGTTTCACTCTGCACAATATCGCAATCCACCTTTAGACTGGCCGCACTGAAGGAAAATGAAGAAACACTGCATGCGTTTCTCTTGGCCACAGAAACAAAGTGGGCACAGGGAACAGGACGGCGGGAGGGGAGATGGGAGCTGAGTGCTGGGGTGTGAGACATGCGGTGTCCCTTGTGAGCCATTCCCTCAGAAAGCCCTACACAGGCGTTACCTGTCCAAGCCTTGTCAGAACTGGACAGCTTTCCAGGAAAAAAATTATAGTGACCTCACGATCTTTTCGTAAAGTTTCCCATAAATAGGAAACTGTAGAATAACCCAGACATATCCAGTTAATGAAATTACAAGGGTACATGCTTGTGTCAAGGAGTGAGACACTAGTATGAAATACAATTCAAAGTGAACAGGGTCCCTTTCATAAGCCACATACAAAGTGCCATTCCTTTAAAGGTCCACATTCTGTCATTGCAGGACTCTACCTCTGTGCAGTAAATCATTACTTATGTTACAATTTTAAGATTGTGCACCATTAGAGAAATATGCTAAAGATATGCTAAATACATCAACAAGGCTGAAAAAAGAGACTTTGAAGAGCAGAGACCAAGCACTTAAAAGATGCACACATCACCGATTCAGGAAGTCTTCCAGAACCAAACAGTCCACGGAAACCATGAAAATTCTACATACTGGTTCCACTTTCAAGTTCCCCCAAAATGGTAAGAAGCCCCTTGTAAGTCACAAAGTTCTATAAAGCACAAGACTGACTGACCCCTGGCACTCCTGGCACAGAGCCTGCTGTGGAGGCCTACAAGCAACACTACCGGTGTGCCTGGCCCTGCCTCCTTGAGGGGAGCGGGGTAGAAGTACGGCGCCCAAAGCCAGTGAGGTCAACAGGACCTCAGACAGCAACTCAAACAGAGATTTAGGATGGAAAGGCCAGCATTTTTTTTTTTTTCCACGAAGTGCTGAGGCTTCAACTGGGAGGTGAGGGGTGGAAGAAAGTAGGTATTACATAGAAATCATTCTTGTAGACATAAAGACCTAAACTGGACTAACAGGAAAGGAGAGGGACGGACACGAAGACACACGGGCACACCCACCCCCTAATCAGACTTGAGTATGAAGACAGTCTGGGGAGACAAGGCTGGAGGCAGGAGCTAAAACCAAATGCATGCCTGAGAAAATAGGAATATCCAAATAAGGAGACAGGGAAATGAACAGGTTGGGGGAGAATGTGAATTATGTAAGATTAATATAGGCCACAAGAGTTTGAGAAACCCCAAAACATCTAAGAAAAGTGACCCAGGAGGTATTCAGAAATGACAGAGGCCAGAGCTAAAGGTGCTATAAAAGGCTGTCACCAGAACAGTATCACCAACGTGAACCTCAGAGATCTTGTAACCAGCCTCCTTTCCTTACTGGTGAAGAAACAGAGATCAGGGAATCTCACCATGTAATTGCTCAAGATATCATGGCGACTTCGTCGGGGAGCCAAGGACCGGGCCCCTGGACCCCACTGCTCACGCACGGAGAGTAGAAAAGGCCTGTCAATTAAAAATGGAGACAGAGAATAGACGGTGGATGGCAAAGGGAACCTCGACGAGGAGACGTAAAGCGAGGGCCAGAGGGAGCAGCAGTCGGAGAGGCCGAAGAGCTCCCGCCCGCCAGGGCGCTCGGGAGCCAAGGACACACAGCCCCAAGCAGGAAGGGGTGGGGAGCGGCACGGAAGGGGAGGATCCGTACGCGGTGGGATCCAAGGAGAACAGACGGCAACGGCAAAGGTAAGACCAAAAATCAGTGGGTCAGGAGAAAAAAACACAATGTAAAGACCAATTTGGTTCTTTCCAAAGAATCATGTAACTTAGAAACTCCTCCTGGTAGGACGGAGCAAAAAGAGGAGGAGCACATAATTTAGGGTAACAAAGTGCATGATCGGAAAGTGCTGCTTAGAGGGTATTGTGAACCAATGAAGTTCATGCCAACAAAATTAAAACTTTGAAATGGGTTAACTCTTTAGTGAACCTGACTTATAAAGACTGACCCAAGAAGAGACAGAAAGTTCAAAGAGTTCATACAGCATTTGAAGAAATCTAATTAGTAAGTAAAAATCTTCCCCCAAAGAAAATGAAAGCCTAGACAATTTCACTGTTTGCTTCCCACATCCAAGGACAAATAACTCCCATTTTATACAACTTTTCCAGAGTTGGGGGGAAAAAAGAAACACTTTCTAACTTATTTTATGAGGCCTGTATAACCTTCATACCAAAACCTGATACATCGTGTGGGAAAAAAAAACAAAAAACAAACCAAACCAGTTTTACTCATAAACATACATGGAAATATGCTAAATGATAACAGCAAAAATAATCTAATAAAAGAGAATATTCTCACTAAGAAGGCTCTATTCCACGAATGCAGGGTTGGTTTGGGGTTAAACAAAATCAATGTGATTCACCACCTTCATTCTTAAAGAGGGGAAAATCATGCAATTATCTTAAAGGATGAAGAAAACTCATAGACAAAATTCAATATCCACTTATGATGAAAAATTCCAGGCATAGGAATAGAAAGAAATTTCCTTAACTTGGTAAAGTCACATGAAAAGCATTCTGTTGAAGACTGAAAACAAGGTAAGGGTACCAGACGGAAGGCTCAGGCAGCAAAACAAGGCAAGAAAAGGTGACACGAGTTTGAAAAAAAAGAAACAAAACTTTCTTCTCAGATGATTTTATTATGCATTATAGGGTATCCTAAGGAATCTAATGTTTATTAGAATAAAAGAGTTGAGAAAGGTTGCAGCATACAAAATCTATTTAAAAACTGCCTTTGTTAGACATTGAGTGAAAAAAAAAATTCAACGATTTTATTTATAGCACTTTGAAAATATAAAGTCCTGAGAATAAATCTATCAAACTACAGCAAGTCCTAACAGGTGGAAAATTATAAAACTTCATTTAAAAACAATAAAGAATGCATAAACAAATGCTCATTTATTGGAAGACAACATTGTGAAGATATTGATTCTTTCCAAACTTATCTATGGAGTCACAACAATTTCATATCAAAATTCCAACAAGTTATTTTCTTTCATCCTTTTTCTCAGGGCAGGGGGTATGTAATCGACAGGCTGATTCCAAAACTTGAATAGAAGGGCAAAAAGCCAAGATGCTTTCTCAGAAGCACAAAGGGGAGGGACTTAGAGCATCACGGTCTCAGGACTCACAGGGCGACAGTGATGAGAAGTGTGGCTGTAGCACAGGAACAAACAAATAGAGCACAGAGTCTAGAAACAGAGCCACACAAATCTTTGAATACTTGAAATGTGACAGAAGTTTCTGCAGCTCACTGAGGCAAGGATGACATTTGCAATAAATGTATATACCAAGCATCCATTTGGGGACTAAACTAGATGAGTTCATACCATAGCCCCACCACCAAAAAAAAAAAAAAAAAAAAAAGGAAGGTAAGGTAAGAAACAAGAAGAGAAGAGAAAAGGAAGGAAAGGTGGGAGGAAGAGAGGAAAGAAAGAAAAAAAGGAAATTTCAGGAGGATTAAAGGCCTAAATATAAAGTGTAAAACTATTACATTTTTAGGAAACAACATAAAAGAGTATCATTATAATGGGAAAAAGACAGATTTCTCTATCAAGACACAAAAAATGAAAACAACAAATTCAACTACATTAATATTAAAAATGTTCATCAAAACACTACAAAAGTGAATAAAAAGGAGAAAATATTTGCAATACATAAAAGCGACAAAGGATTAATATTTATATAAAAGCAACAAAGGATTAGTATTTATAACACATAAAGAATTTTTATGAATCAATAAAAAGTCAA